CCTGGATTTATGTTTAAGACTTACTCATCAGAAAACTTTGGCCCATTCTGCATCTAGCATTTGCTCCGCTGTTTTACCAAACCCACGTTGGAATACAAATTCCCCTCTACATTGCATGCCACTTTCACTTTGATTGTCCGGATTTTATGTTAGTGTCCAGACTGCATGCCAGTTTCACTTCCTTTGATCTCTCGGTTTTATGGTAACTGTCTGCACAGATTTATGGCCGTTTTCTGGCCATTCGGGGGTGACTCTGCAGTCAGTACGGTGTTGGCCCTGGGTATCTGAATGTGGTTTTGAGCTGTGGGTTTGGTAAAACAATGGAGTAAACGGTGGATGCAGACAAGTACAATGCCAATCCTACTAAACGACAAGTACAATGCCATCCTACTAAATCGAGTCACCTAGGTCTTGCTGAGAGTGATGCCTGTTTGGCCTTGCCAGACAGCTAAAGCCAATCTGGTCCACATGCTCTGGGAATGCCCCAAAGTTACATTATTCTGACAAAAGGTTGTATCCTGGATTACTCTTTTGTTATCTACTGAACTGTGCCTCACAGCTCAGGAAATCTCATATTCCCCCCTCAGTGGATGATTGGGTCAGGGATAAAATAATCTTTGTATGGTGGAGAGGATCACATACCACAGACAAGAAACTCATGGGATCTTCACCTCTATCTGGCAAGATTTCTTGTATTTCAAGCAGTGATGCTTCATCTTCTGCACTTGTGTTTAGCTAGATCCGTATTGCTGCTTCTCAGTCCTCCCCATTTTTGCCCTGCCTTTTTTCTTTCTTTTAAAAAACTTTCTGCTTTCAGCTCTCTCTTTCTTGTTGATGAGTGTGTAGTAGGGAGAGGGTTACATGGGATTTGTTGTTATATTTACTATCCTGTGTATAAAACTATAAAATCTTAGTGAGGAAAATTGTTTCTTTTCTTTTCAACTTATTTTCCCTGGATGTTCCACATTGGCCCAGAATAATCTACCAATTCCCTGTTTGAGGGGAAAAAAGGGCATTCCAGTTAAGACTTTTGAAAGGGTCTTTTTTCCTCATTGGATGTAAATCTTGCATCAGACACATTTTGCAAGACAGTTTCTTGTGACTTGAATTTTTTGAAGCTTCAGTGCACATTTAAATATAGTGCACAATCCATTTGTAAGTTGCAGAAGATGTAGAGGTTCCCTCGCTCCCAAACTTTGTGGATGATGGCTGAGGATGAACTAAAATGTTAAAAAAGAGGGGTGAGTGTGTTGTGTTCTTAAGGTCATGTTAATTCTTCCTTTGTCACTTCCTGCCAATACTGTAAGCAGGGGTGTTGAACTCATTTGTTATGAGGGCCGGATCTCACATAAAAGAGAACTTGTCAGGCCAGGCCATAAGTGTCAGGTAGCAGATATATAAACTTTATAAAGGACACAAACACAATCAAAGACTTTTTAAAAACTTAAAACATGCTTAAAACATTAGCACTCTTGCAATATTTTGGCCCCGGTCACACGGAGCATTAGGCACGCTAGAGAGACGGAAGATAGCGGATTTTCCGGGCGCGATCTCACCGCCACATCTGGGAAGCGTAGAGCTTCCGTGGCGCACCGGAGGCTTCCCGCCGAAGATGCAGGGTAAAAAACTAGTACCTCGGAGATACTAGTTTCCGGAAACCGTGGGGCAAGGGTGGGCGTCTGATCGCGTTTCCGGTGGTAGTTCTGGCGCCTGCCCATGTCTCCTCGCAAAAAGGATTCCCCCCCCAAGTCTCCACGGATGCGCACAAGCAACCAATGGAGCATGCGCACATTTAAGTTTTAAAAACAAAACACAACCCTGTTTGCTGCGCCGTTCCGCTTCTTTGCCGGGTGTGTGATCGGCACCTCCCCCCTAACCACGGGAGCGCAACAGGACCTCAACCCGAAGCCTGATCGCGCAGTTGCACGTTAGTTTGCTCCGGGGCAAACAGCCACGCCTCCCCCCCTCATTTTCCTGCCCGTGTGGCCGAGGCCCATGTTTATTTAACAGTCTCTGATAACACCTCTTGCTTTCAATGATTGTATCAAAGTCTGGAGACAATGTCTGTCCTGTAGCAATCGTGAGTATGCTGTTCGGTGTTGTTCAGGTGTGTATAAGTTGCAAACCTACTTTTGATTTATTGATATTCACTGCAGAAATCTCACAGTCAATGCATTGAGCCTAAGACCCAGAGGAAAACATGAAATGGCTGGGCATTGTGAGCTTTTGTACATAAATTGCTTCATGTGCTGGTCAAGAAAATGTGAAGGTACCATGACACAGGCTGAGGGCTATGTGTTTGTCTACAAAACGATAGTCTTCCCCAGTGAATAGCTACAACTCCTGTGTGGCAGTGCAAGCAAAGAGAGACAGCAATGTATATCAGCCTACTATCTGGGAAGTCGAGGTTCCAAATCGCCAGTCAAGAAAGGAAATGCACTGGGTGAACTTGGTCTGGACACACACACTCAGCCTAATTCACCTCAGTGGCTTGTTATTCCTCATCTAAATAGTTCACATTACTTTCCTACTGAGAAAGGCTGGATCATGAGGGCATGAATAGAGTGAAAAGGGGGAGGCAAACCCAGTTGTACCCAGGAAAGCCATGGCATAATGAGCCCAACAAAACTCTCTCTCTCACACACACACAAACCACCCAAAATTTTGGGTACAAAGAAGGAATGCCATTGCAAAGAGGGGGAAAGGAGAATGGCATGTGGAGAGAAAAAAAAGGAGTTTGAACTGATAAGAGAACAGAGAACTTCTGGGTGCAGAGAGGAAGAAAGCCTATGCTATTGGGTCCATACAGGAAATGCGAGTGTACACTGGACTGGAGATAAAAAGTAGGAAGACTGAGAGGGGTTGCAACTAGAGAAGAGAGAAGATGCAAAAAGCTCATACCGTGAATAAAACTTTGTTGGTCTTAAAGACGCTTTCTTAAAGGCGATTGAGGGAACTGGGCAAAGCAAGCCCAGGACATGAGGAGAGGGAGGAGCCTCAGCCAGTGGCCCTCCATTGGCTGAGGCTCCTCCCTCTCCTCATGTCCTGGGCTTGCTTTGCTTCTCCTCTCTTCCTTCCCAAGGGAGGAGCCTCAGCCAATGGAGGGAAGAGAGGCTTTGCTCTCTGGCTCTGCTGTGCAATTCAGAGAGCCTGGCAAAGCAAGCTGTGTCGCAGAAGAAAGAGGGAGAAGTAAGCAGATGGCAGCCAGTTGCTTGCGGGCCTGATACAACCCCTGTTGGTGCCGGATGTGGCCCATGGGCCACATGATTGACACCCCTGCTGTAAGCTATCCAGCGACTCCAACTCATTATGCTGCTTTGCTTTATGGAGGGGAGCTCTGGCAGTCTGTAAGGAGCTGCAGTTGCTTCATTAAGATCTGACAGAAGAGAAAACTTCCTTATCAGTTTGTAATAATATTTTTGAAACCTTGGATAGTCATGATAGTGTCATTTTCTGCTAAGTTGCAAATGAACAGAACAATGACTTCAGCTAAGCCATTAATTTAATACTGGAAGAGCTCCAGTTCCTAGGCTGCTTTTTCTTAAACATGAAATAGATGGCAGAGATTAGGCCATTCTGTCTGAGGGTGCAAGGAGATGCTGCAGTTGCACATTTGCGGGCCCCAGAGCTGTTCTGTTGCGATGACTCCTCGCTGGACAGTGTTGCAGCTGTGCAGAAGCAAAGCTTTGTCTGCTCAGCCTCCTTCCCTTTGCTCCATCGTACTGCCCTCCTCCTCTTCTCATGGACATTTGACATAATGACTGGAGTGGCAGCTGTGGTGGTGTGGAGAACAAGGAGGCAGCTGCCACGGAACATAAATTGCACTCAGGATAGCAGCATTTGCTTTTTTGCCCAAGGCACCTTAAGGGTAGAAGCAGAGGAGACCTTGGCAACCAACTGCTGCATTTCTTTCGTAGAACTCACTTTGAAATTTTCCCGAGGTTTTCATGTGGAAGGATGGTAGGAGTAATAGGGAGCGAGGAACCTTTCACACTTTTCTTATGGAAGCAGTGAAATATGGTCTGTGCTTAGGTGGCTTTTGACCCTTTCACACACAGAGAAGGCAATAGACCTCCGTAGTAGGTCAGAGCATAAGCACCTGTTGCTACCTGATGGTTCTGGGTGCCATAAGCAGCAAGGAGCACACATGATGAAGAGAAGAGATGCTGAAGCAGTGGCCATCAGCAGTGTTTGTAGAAACTCTTGTCTTCCCCCTAGTCTCTTGGTTACAGAGCATATGGAACCAAGGTTTTGATCTTGGCTGGAGCGGGAGGGGGGGGGGAGATCAGGCACCCGTATCACTTTAGAAGCCAGACGGTGTAAGCAGGCTTTAGTTTTCCGTGCATTCAAGCCTATGTAATGATGGTTATAAGCCCAAGACCTGATTATATTATATAGCTTCTAGGTTCCTATATCTTGAGGACAAAAGGAGGTTGTCTTATTTTTCTGGAGTCCTGGCCTAGAAATGCGTACAATTGTAAAATAGGATTATATTTTGATTGATGCAGAAGTTTATGCTAACATGCAAATTATGATTTCCACTTCAGTATACTGTGGTGTTTCTGGTATACAATGGTACAGGAGTTGGTGTATTTGTTAAAAAAAAATGTTTGTATACTTGCATGTATATTATGTGGCAGTACAGAATGCTAGCTACTTCTCTGCTTTGGCTGCAATTGTGGTTTAAGTATTGCATGTATAGAATCTGGGCTTGCTTTATTTCCTACTTGGCATTTTGCCCACATCCTAAAATAGTGATATGACTCAATAGCACTGGCAGCCTTTCCACTTGTTAAGGGCTCACACTGTAACTGTAAGAGTGCTGAATTTAAGGCCCGGACCTGGGAGTTGGTGAAGTTTGCCTCAGCAAACCACCTTATTCATGACTTTCAATTGGTGAACAGCTGCCACAAATAAGTACTGTGTACAACCAATGTTCTTTTGACCATTGTCTTTTTTTAAAAAAACAACAAAACCCTCTGTTTTCTCTCCTTCTTTAGGTTGCTTCTGTGCTGGAACCATGAACTGGCATTACCCCCTTCTCTTTGCCGCCTTGACATCAATGTGTACATGCTTTCAGCTGAACCCTCTGTCTCTTGAAGAACTGGGGTCAGACATCGGGATCCAAGTTTTTAACCAATTGGTCAAAACCAGGCCTAAGGATAATATTGTTGTGTCTCCCCATGGAATTGCATCTGTGCTAGGAATGCTTCAGCTAGGGGCTGATGGCAAGACAAAGAAGCAGCTGACGACAGTGATGAGATATAGTGTCAATGGTCAGTTCTTCTCTGCCGTTGTGGCGGGGTTGGGTGGGGGTGTGTGTCTTTGTGTGTTTTGCTTGTGGGAAAGTCACAGGATAGGTGAGATCTAGTTGATTCATACAGTGATACAAAGACTGACCTATAGCAGGAACAGTAGTCACTGTGCTTGAAAACACTAACCGGTTATCTTGGTCTATTGCAATATTAAATAGTGCTTTAGTATCTCTTATACCAGAAGGCATCCTTGGCCATGGCATTCAGCATTGATGCTAAACACAGTGAGCTTAACAAGGACTGTCCTCCTATTTCCAAAGCAAATAGGATTGAGTTTCATTGCCAGGGTTGTGTGGGAAGCATAAAACGTTTCTCTGTGTGGGGCTGACAGCCTCTAATACATGCCCTCAGATGTCATTCAATAAAACGTCTTGGTGTTTAGTGGCAAATGAAACTGTTAGCCCATTTGTTTGGCTCTCATATAGCTTTGGATTCTTCTGTATCAACCTATATAGCGGGGGGGGGGGAGAGAAAGAGAGAGAGAGAGGGAGAGAGAGAGATCTCTTGCTTCTGTCAGGCTGTGTTCCTGATATTGGCAGGCATCAGAGTTTCATTCCCCAGCTTGAGCCTCTCTTCTGACAGGGGCTTAATAGACCTTGTTGCCTCTTTTTGTCCTGCTGAGGTATTATTCAAATGCAACCGTGGCTTCTGAGCATGTTTCAGGATGCTTGCACTATACCAAATGTCGTTCACTATGGCCTTCGCCTTCTAAAAAGTGAGCATTCCTTAGGCATGCCATGAGAATTCTGCCATCTTGCTTGTTTTTCCGTTTTGTTTTTAAGATACATTATCTATGCTGGTTCCGTCTCTAAACCCCAAAGACCTGGATATTGGAATTCCATTAGTTTTATTTAAACCATGTGCCAGCCTCTCAGCACACTGAAATTCTGTTTTCCCTTAAGTATATTAATATAACTCAGGAAAAACAGCAACCTGTGTTTGTGAGCCAGCTTTACCACCAGTTTGAGGATCTTTGTCTAGATCTTCATTGACAACACACTAAGCTGCTGACCCCACTGGCAGTGTTCTGGACGCTGCTAAGAGCCTGTGTAGTTCCATGGCCAAGGTGGTTGGGAAATGTTCACTTGTAATTTGGTGACTTGCCCAAGGGCATCTGTCGCTGCTGCAGTTTCCAATCTGTGAAGTGTGTGCAGTTCTGGGGGCTGGATGCTGGGAAAGTGGCTGTAGTGGAAGACCACGTCATAAGACGTTTTCCCAAGTTTGAGCATGTATTTTATACTTAGTGTCTTTGTTCAGGAGATATAGTCTTTGCCTTAAAGTAAACGACTTGAAACCAGGTTTCATTAGCCTAATTGGAGCGTCTGTGTTAAAAGTGTTTTGGATCACAGCTTAATCTCGCTTTCTGTACCCGAAATTCAATTTTGCTCTTTTCATGCTTGCTTTTGCATGTTTTAGAAGGTACTGTTAATCTTTATTCATTTTAAAAAGGGTCTGTATTTGTCTTTCAAATAGGAGTTGGTAAAGTACTACGGAAGATAAACAAGGCTATAGTATCCAAGAAGAATAAAGATGTTGTGACAGTTGCAAACGCAGTCTTTGCAAAAAGTGGCTTGAAAATGGAAGTGCCCTTTGTTTCGCGGAACAATGATGTGTTTCAGTGCGGTGTCAAGAGTGTGGACTTCATGGATCCAAGTGCTGCCTGTGACACTGTCAACCAGTGGGTAAAAAACGAAACTAAGGGTATGTGATAACAGATACATTGACTATTATCTTTTGTTACCCATGCATTTTCTGTTCTTCCTTCTAATTTGTTAAACACCCTTTTCTTCCATGTAGCTGGAATTTAGAGTGTAAATGGACTTGCCTCTTCTTATAAGGCACTAGTATGTTGACTGTTTATGTGTTTCTCATTCCTCCCCTGCTCTTACTTCAGGCTCTGCTTCCTGGCCTACCTACTCACTCTTTTTTCTCCTTGCTTGGACTCCTGCCTGATCATGCTGGCTGCTTAGCCCCTTGCCACCTGGTTCTTCCTCCTGCTTATCCCCCCTCCCAGCCCTGTTTCCAGTTTCCAGGATCATGTACCCACCCCTGGTCTTATTGGTGTCCACTCACTACCACTGCTTTCTCTGCTTTTCCTTCCGCACACCCTGTGGGCTCTGCTTCTTTCTTTCCCCACCTCTTCTTAACATTAGCTGCCTTTTCTCACCATTCCCTACGGTGTCTTTTCTCTCCAGTCTTTCTTTTGTCCCACATGCTTATCTCTGTGTCAGACATCATTTCTCTCCCTGCTTCCTCCCCTCTTGCTCTGATGTCCACACAAGATGGGGACTTCAGTAATACAGGTTTCCCAGAAAATCTGAAACTCTAGTTGAGATTGTGGCACTTTTAAGAATCTCTGGTTTACTTACTTTTTCCTCCCTTCTGGGAATTTTTCTGGGTTTGTAGAAACAACTACCCTGTCCCTGGTTGGCCCCATTGTGTGGATTTTTTAATCTGCATAATATGGAATTGCTGTAAAGCTGCCTTAGATATAGACTTCTACTGCTCGTTTTCTTGCTTTTCCTTTTGTGTTGTTTTAATCCTAATGATATGAAAGTTCAAATGTTGAAAACAGAAGCATATGGATATATTTGGCATGTGCTTGTTGTATATTGATGTTTTGGGGAATTTTAACATTTCTGGAACCCGGTTGGCATGTTGGATAATTGTGACTTGTATTGATTATTCTACAAATGTGTTTTGATAACTAATTACCATACTATTTTAAATATGTAAGATCAGTTTGTAAAATGTAGAACTAATAAAAGTCTTACTTTAAGACCTGGGAGCCCCTTGATTACATTCTCCTGTATGTGAGGACATGGTAACTTCATGAAATGATTCCAGATAAGGGAATATTAATGGAGAGAGGAAAGGGGGTTAATGTACAATTGCACATTTTTAGTGTATAAATTAATCTGTGGATTAAATTTTACATCTCTCATAACTGAAATTATGTCCCAATTTGTCTTAAGCGCCACAAAAACTCCATTCCTATCACCACTTGCTTCAGTATAAAGTTTCTGTTTTGCCTGTGCATTTAAAATCACTTCCTTTTTAATGAATCTCTTATGGTTCTCTTGTGGTAGTATGTGTGACACATCTATATTTTTGGGGGAACCAGGTTTATTTTAAACTATAAACCTTCCCCTCAGTTACCAGGTGTTCTAAAGGTAGCTTTGAGTTCACTGCTGTGGGGTAAGTTTAGTGGTGAGTAAATAGAATATGGAGTTCTCTGAGGCAGGAATTGTATATTAACAACACAGAATATGTATTTATTTAAAAGTTGGTTTCAAACAGGGCTTTTTTCTGGGGGAACACGCTGGAACAGAGTTTCAGAACCTCTTCAACAAAATTCTTTTTAAAATGTATAAAAGTTCATGAGTTTTCAGTATACAGATTGAAAATTTCATTTCCCTCTTGAGAGTTCCGGCACCTTTAAAAAACAACAACAACCCTGGTTTCAAAGAACAGATAAACAGCACAGGTCTCCAGGTAGACAAAGGAGAAACATGGCTGATGCATGTGAACTTAAACTAGTCATGGCTTCAGAGTAGTTTGCATTTGCTTTAATACTTGCAGGCAGAGACAGGCTTTTACTGACTAGCCACTAGACTGGATCCTAACACACACACACACACACACACAGGATTCTACCCACACCAGCCTGCCCTTTCCCAAGAGTCAGACAAAATGGTACGAGATCTGCCCCTGGAGACAGACCTAGCAATCGGGTACTCTGTTCTCTCTGAGAGAGAGAGCCAAACCACCTGGCCACACTACCAAGCAGAGCTACCCTTCACCTGTCTGCTTGTTTCCTGAGCCAGACCTGAGCTCTCACTGCTCTCTCCCTGAGGCAGAACTGAACTCAGCTCTTCCTGTGTTTTCCTGCTAATATCCCATTCCCTTTCTCAAAAGTGATTGGATGCTGGAGCAGGACTCCCATAGGCTCAAGTGGGTGGCTGTTTTCCCCTTTAGTGTCGTGGGGAAGCAGGAACAAAACCTTCCCATGGCAAAGGTCTAAATTATTTTGTCTTGAAGCTTTGTTGAAATCCAGCATGGTTGTTCTCCATAACTCTGTTAGCTTTGTAATCTTGTTTCACATTTGATTTAATGTGATTTGGTATTGAAGTATGTGTTACTTCTTTTTGTTCCCTTTTCTCTTCGTGCTTAATTTGTTTTTTGTGATCCATAATGTTTTGCTTTTTCCTCTGTTTTATGCAGGCATGATCAGTGGGGTCTTATCACCAGATGCGATCGATAGTGCTTTAACCAGACTGGTGTTGGTGAATGCAATATACTTCAAGGGACTGTGGAAATCACGTTTTCAGCCAGAAAATACAAAAAAGCGCACATTTAATGGAGCTGATGGAAAGGCTTACCAAATACCTATGTTGGCTCAGCTGTCTGTGTTCCGATGTGGTATGCTCAAAACTTTTGTGACTTTCAGAATTATAAAAAGCATTTTCTTTTGCCTAGAATTCTCTTCAAAAGTTGAGGGGAAAATTAAGTAGTGCAACTGACAAAACAGTGAATTATCTTTTGCATTACTGCAATAGATCTGGCTCACTTGCTGAAAGAACTATGCATATGTTGGTCTTTTGGTCAAATGTAGGGTAAGGGGAGAGAAGGTTCTAACAGTCTTAACAGCTAGCAGACCTTTAGGATATAACATGGGGGAGATATTCTGCAGAAATGCTGAGTTTTCTCCTTCCTCTGTGTGTTCCATCATGGATTACAGACCCCCTTTTTTTAAATTACATTTTATTAAATTTGGGGGGGGTTTATAGGGATAGGGGTAGGAAAGAAAACAAAGATAATAAGTCTTTTTTTTTTTTTGGTAAACAAATTTTTATTTTCTTAGGAACATAACATATAAGATTAAATCATTCAGTCCATTGTTTACCTCATTCCCTTCCTCCCCTCCCTCCAGTGGCTTCCCGCAATGCTTCTCCCCCTTCTTACAAATTTCATTATATCATTAACACATCATTTGTTATCATCCAACCTCAAGATAACATCATTTGACTTAATATTGATCTAAACATATTAAGTTTTGTTTTACATCCCAGTTCTTTTCCAGATATATTTTAAAGTCATTCCATTCTTGAAAAAACACGTTGTCTTCTTGATTATTCAACTTTTTTGTAATTTTATCCATTTCTGCCATGAACAGAACTTTTTGTATCCAGTCTTCGATTTCTGGTACTTTCTCAGTCTTCCAAAATTGTGCATAAATCATCCTCGCTGTTGTAATAAGGTACCAGAATAAAGTCCTTTTAGTCGAGTTAACTTCTTCCATTTTTAGTCCCAAAAGCAGAATTTCAGGCGCTTTCTTGAAAGAGCACTTAAGTATTTTTTGCATTTCTTTGTGGACTTTTGTCCAAAAGAGTGTAGCTTTTTCACAAGTCCACCACATATGGTAAAATGAGCCCTCATGTTTTTTACATTTCCAACATTTATTTGACATATTCTGGTTCATATTTGCAATTTTCTTTGGGGTCATATACCACCTATACATCATTTTGTAACAATTCTCTCTAACATTGGTACAGGGTGATATTTTAATAGCATTTTTCCACAAATATTCCCAGGTTTCTATGTCAATTTCCTTATTCATATTTATTGCCCATTTTAACATTTGCTCTTTCACAGTCTCATCTTCTGTATACCATTTTAACAACACTTTATACATTTTAGAGATATCTTTTCCCCCTCCACTCTCCCATACCTTTTCCATTTCATTTTTTTCCTCTCTAAAACCATAATTTCTTTTGTCTGACCTAAAAAGGTCAGAGATCTGCATGTATTTCAACCATTCATATTCATATTCAATTTCATTCTGCTTTTTCATTACCCATTCTGTTCCCTCTTTTTTTATTATGTCTTTATACAGCAACCAATCTTTGTCTCTACGTCTTGAGTAAGATGTTAACACTTCCACTGGTACAATCCAAAGTGGCCTTACATCACCAAAATATTTTTTATATCTCATCCATACCACAAATAATGCTTTTCTTACCACATGATGCTTAAAAAAGCTATCCATTTTTGTTTTGTCATACCATAAATATGCATGCCAACCAAATCTACAATCATGACCTTCTAACCCCAATAGCTTATCATTTTCTAATTTCACCCATTGCTTCAACCAGGTCATACAAACCGCTTCATAATATAATCTGAGATTTGGTAGCTGTAGTCCACCTCTGTCCTTGGCATCACAAAGTATTTTCATCTTAATTCTCGGTTTCTTGCCTGCCCAAACAAACTTTGATAGTTCTTGTTGCCACCTTTGCAGCAAATCTGTCTTACTAAGTATTGGTATTGTTTGGAACAGGAACATCAAACGTGGTAGGACATTCATTTTTATAACTGAAATTCTTCCCATCAGTGACAAGTTCATTTTGTCCCATTTCTTAAAGTCTTGGGTTAACTTAGCCCATAGTTTTTCATAATTGTTCTTATATAAGTCTATATTCTTTGCAGTTAACTCAATGCCTAAGTATTTCGTCTTCTTTACCACTTCACATTGTACCAAATTTTGTAGTTCCACTTGTTTTTGTTTCGTCATATTTTTGCAAATAAGCTTCGTTTTATTCTTGTTTACATAAAATCCTGCCAATTCTCCAAAATCTTTTATTTTTTGAAATAGTAACGGTAACTCTTCCGTCGGGTTTTCCACAATAAACATTACGTCATCTGCAAAAGCACGGTATTTATATTTAAAACCTTTATGTGTCAAACCCTTAATCTCTTGATCTTGTTGTATTTTTTGTAAAAGTACCTCCAACACCCAAATGAACAATAGCGGTGACAAGGGACAACCCTGCCGAGTACCTTTCTGTACCTTGAAGCTATCGGTCAATTCTTTATTTACATTCAGTGTAGCTCTTTGTTCCGAATAGATAGCTTCAATACAATTTCTGAACTGTTGTCCCGTATCAATTTTTTCCATCATCTGTAACATAAACTTCCAATTAAGATTGTCAAATGCTTTTTCCGCATCCACAAACAAAAAAGTTACCTCTTTTTCAGGGTGCTTTTCATAGTATTCCACTGCGTCCATTACTATTCTTACATTATCTCGAATTTGTCTTTTTGGCAGAAAGCCCGCTTGATCTTCTGAAATCACTGTTTGTAAGTAGTTTTTCACTCTTTCTGCAATAATTTTTGCAAAGATCTTATAGTCATTATTTAGGAGAGAAATTGGCCTGTAGTTCTTTACATTCGTTAGTTCTTGGCCTTCCTTTGGTATCAATGAAATGATTGCCTCTTTCCATGAGTCTGGCACTTTCTTGCACATCCGTATGTCGTTGGATAAAGCTTCCAGGGCCGGGACAAGTTCCTCTTTCATTTTTTTATAAAACTTCGCGGTAAATCCGTCCGGCCCTGGCGCCTTCCCCAACTTCGCTTCTTCAATTGCCTTCCTCACTTCCTCTGTTTGGATTGGCCCATTTAGTAAATCTTTAAACTCTTTGCTTATTTTGGATAGTGGAATCTCTTCTAAATATCTTTCAATCTTCTCAAGATCAATTCTATTTGCTTGAAACAATTTAGCATAATACTTGAAGAAACTTCTCTTTATACCATTAGGGTCAACGAATTCTTTTCCTTCTTCTATAATTTTGGTTATCATTCTTCTTTCTTTTCTTGCTTTGAGTTGCCAAGCTAGATATTTCCCCGGTTTATTCGCCCCTTCAAAAGATTTCTGTTGTAACTTCTTTAAATTCCAATAAAGCTCTTGGTTCAAAAAATCATTCAGCTGTTCTTTCAGCAACTGTAGTTCTCTAATAATCTTCTTTTTCCCCGGTTTCTTCTTCAGTTCTTTTTCTTTTTGGGCTATTTGTTCCAATACTTCCACTTGCCTTTGAAGTTTTTCCTTCTTTTGCTTCACATTTTGTGAGATGAGAATCCCTCTCATCACAGCTTTGTAAGCGTCCCACACTACCTGTATTGAAGTCTCTTTATTCAGATTTTGTTGGAAATATTGTTTTGTTTCTTCTTTTAACATTTCCATAACACCTTTTTTATCCAACAAATCTTCATTTATTCTCCAAAGAAAGGATTTATTCCTTTCAGTAGAGGTCCACAAAACAGGGTTGTGATCCGAGTTACATCTAGGCAGGATTTCTATTTTTTGTGTTTTCATTGACAATTCTTCTGACATCCAAATCATATCAATTCTGGAAAAAGAGCAATGTCTATTGGAATAAAAAGTAAAATCTTTCTGCGTTGGGTTCCATTTCCTCCACACATCTTCTAGTTTTTCCTGTTTGACTAGTTCAAAAAAGTTCTTTGGCAATTTTCCACTAATTTCGTTGCCTTTTTGTGATTGTCTATCCAGCCGATCTATAGTTCCATTAAAGTCTCCGGCCAAAATAACTTGATCATAAGTTTGTCCTTGTAGGTGTTCAGTTAAGTCCTTAAAGAACTTTTCTTTTGCTCCATTGGGTGCGTATATATTGACCACCAGTGTCTTTTTCTGTTGAATCATCACTTCCACACCCACATATCTTCCTTCCAAATCTTTGAAAATTTCTTTAGGTTGTAAATCCTTTTTCACATATATCACCACACCTTTTTTCTTATTTAAGGCCGAGGAATAAAATTCTAATCCCAATTTAACATTTTTTAAATATTTGGCATCCAGTTTTCTAATATGAGTTTCTTGCAAGCATATCAAGTTACAATTTTGTTTTTGTATCCAATAATTGATTCTTTTCCTCTTGTTAGGTGAATTTAATCCATTCACGTTCCATGACAACAATTTGTAATCCATTGTAGATTCTTAATTTAAAGTTCTCCAAAGACGTCAGAATTGTCCGCCTTAAATTTATAAAAATCCGTCACCGACCTGATCTGGACTCTCCCACCTTTGTAAGTAAAGGATAAGCCTTGTGGAATTTCCCATCTGTACCTAATATTCAAAGTCCTCAGTTTATCCACCAAAGGCTTATACCTTTTTCTGTCTTGCAGTACTGCTCGGGGGAGTTCTCTCATCACCATAATCTTGTTTCCTTCCATTTCAAAAGGGACGGTGAATTGTTTCTTAAAAATATCTTCTGTAGTTGTTCTTGTTACAAATTGTACAATAACATCTCTTGGTAAATTTTTCTTTTCTGCAATTCTGGAGTTCACTCTGTATATCAAATCAAAATCAGAGTCCATTGTCCCTTCATCTTCTTCCAAATATGATGTTATTGCCTTCATCATTTCATCTCTTATATCTTCATTTTCCTTCTCTTTAATGCCCCTGAATCTCAGATGGGTTTGCATCCTTCTGAACTCCATCATTGTTTCTGATCTTCTAAATTGCTGAGTCAAAGAATCCTGTTTTTCTTCCACTTGTTGCATCTTCTCTTCCACTTCCGTAGTTTTGGTTGCATTAGCCTGAATCTCCTTTTTGACTCCTTCTATTTCTTGCTTGATTGAAGTTATCTCAGTAGTGACCAAATCTTTAATTGCCGCTATGTTCTTCTCCTGAACCTCTTCAAGTTGTTTCAGATGAATCTGAGTCTGCTTTGCCATTTGTGCCTCCAGTTGCTTTTCAATCTGTTCCCCCATCCTTTTTTCACTTTGTTCTCCCATAGCTTGTATTGCTTCCAGCATCCTTTTCTCCATTGCCTCCATGGCAGCATACATCTCTTTCTTATCCTTCTCCCTCTCTTTTGACATCTTGGGGGTTGGTGTCAGCCTAGTTGGTGTTGAATTAGTTCTTGGTCTCACTTTTGGCTTAACGTCAGGATCAGAGTCAGCTCTTTTCGGTCCTCTTCTGGTCTCCGTTTTGGTGCTTTTCCTGCGGTGCGCAAATTCACAAACAAACAGTCTCTTCTAAAGGGTAGCCTTCAATCAGCCATTCCCTTCTATTTTCGCTTTTAAAAACCCTCTAAAAGAAGTTTAAAGTCAAATTTAAAGATAATAAGTCTTCTGCATATAAATCTTCTCCACTTATCATTTCACATTACAAAATGATAGACTGAAATTTTACAGGTTTATAGCTTCTTCATATCATATTATCAAAAAATTCATATCTTTATGTTTCTTTCTTACCCAGGCATAAAAAGGACACCATAGTCAGAGGAAATCTCCTTCCATTTGCCCTTTTAGCATCAAAGTCAATCTATCCATTTCCACACTTTCCATAGTCTTCACTATTAAGTCTTGTTCAGAAGGTATTGTTGGAAGTTTTCAAAGGATTACAGCCTTAAAGCAGCAGGCCTCTGACCTGTCTGCTGATGTTTCCCAGTGCCTGGAGGCCACACATTAAGGAAACTGGGGGAATGTATGCAAAAACTCCCAGAACTAGATCATTGTGCTCCCAGCTCATTGTAGCCAAAGCCAATGAATCTTGGTTCAAACCTAGAGCTTGCTTGTATGGCTGTTCTCCTTTTGCATGCTTGAGATGATTTGTTATTTCCAAAACCACATCAAAGTGTAGTTTGCCAGTAGTACCCATGGGGTCATCATGAGTCACCTGTGACTTGACAGCACTTTACACCATCACCACCACATCCATTCTGGCAAGTTGTGGCTTGTACTTGCCCTGTGAACCAGGATTCTAAACAGCAACCAAGATAGTGTTTGGAATCCTGGTTTGCAGGGCAATTGCAAACTATAGCTTGCCAATTTGGATATAATTACAAGCTACAGAGTGCCACAAACCCTCAAATAACTAGATGACCTTGCTGCATGCAAGGAATCAGGGGATCTTGTGAGTGAACCCTAGACTAATTCTCAAGGCAAACCATTGTTTGCTGCTGTTACATCCAAGCCTGAACATATAGTTGTGCCTCTGTTGTATGTGAAGAGTATGTGGTTGTTCTGCTTCAGGCTTGGAGGCTTTTAAACAGTAGATCTAGTTCAAGAGAAATACTGTTCATCTGGATATATCCAAGTAGGCAGCCATGTTGGTTGAAGCAGTAGAACAAATTTTGAGTCTAGTGGCACCTTTAAGACCAACAAAGGTTTATTCAAGGTATGAGCTTTTGTGTGCATGCGCAGGAAGGTCTGGAAGGAGATGAATGGAGTGTAACAACAGTCACAGTTTATTACCCTTAGAAGGATACTTTTACACATCTGTCTCCTATTTTGACATATTTATTACTTTACTGTTCCCCCCAATTAAATCCAAAAAAATGGTGACCATATGAACTTAGCTTATTATTGCTGTTAAGTCTTTGCATATGTTAAAACATCTTCATTAAGTTGTATGCTTATTTGCTGTTCACCTGTGTAGAGGCATCTTCCTAGATATCTGAACTGTTAACTTCCATTTCAATGTATCTGAGGAAATGTGCATGCACACAAAAGCTCATACCTTGAATAAACTTTTGTTGGTATTAAAGGTGCAACTGGGCTCAAAATTTGTTCTAGTATTTATCTGGTTATTGGTTCAGATTTAATCTCACTGATTTGAGTTGGGTTTCCAAGAACGTGTTTTTAAGACTGCAATCATTAAAGAAGCTTGGGCAAAATCTGTTTCTTTAGAGTAATACAGTCTTTTTCATGAGAATGTATCTGGAGTGGGATCACAAGCATCTTGAACCAGAATAAGCTTGAAGTGGTAGCTATTAAAACAAATGTATACCCCTATCACTAGGTATAGATGAGAACTACAACATATGAATTTTAGATTCTAGAATAGTATCTAGAAATAGTTTTGCTATCTAACCATGGTTTAAAACAACAAATTCCTTCTGCTGTTAGTACAATCACTGTTGGAGATGGTGAGTTAAATTCTGAACAGGGTGCCAAGAGAAATAAGTTCAGGGACTTCAGCCTAGCTCTGAGAGTGCTTGCCAGCACAGGAGATCAAGCATAAGAACAGCAAAGGTCCCAGACATACGGAACCTTTGTATATCTGGGACTTCTTAGTATGGTGTCACCAGTAGTAGTTACTGGTTAAGAAAAATTAGTCACAGTGTCATAGACCACCATTGTGCAAGGCAACAAACTTTGATACCCGGCTGCCATTTCTTTCCTAGTTACTCTAAAGAAATCAACAAAAACATTATTAATTCTTTTGCAGAAGTATTACACAATTATCTTTCTGTTCTCTCGATGTAGACCAGACTCTAGCATCTTAAACTGTAATACTTTCTCGTGCAAATTTTTCCACTCTAAATTAAGGAAATAATAATTATTGCAACATAAGCAATCATTTGAAGAAAAGGAGATCCTCCTTAAATGCACAATTCAGTTGTGTTCAGAACACTAATAAATCTGTCATTCTCTTTCAGTCAGAGATCCAATACTGATGGATCTTAAGCTTCTTACAATTCTGTGGGTTTGGGATATCTACATAGCGTGCCTAGGTAGTAGTTAAATTTTGTATCTTAGAAGAAGTCTGTACTACATAACATTCTGATATTTAAAAATTCCCACCAACTAATAATTTTACAACTCTTAAATGTTTAATATTTAACACAAAGGCAATATACATGTGCTCAAAGTACCTTCACATACAATATATTGTTACCCTTACAACAGTCCTGTAAAGTAAGTGAGTATTATCCCCATATTGCATGTGGGGTGTCAGTGTGTGCAAAGAATTGTGTGTGATTCCCTCAGTGCTGCCCCCTGTTCCTTATCATAATTATGATGTGTGTGGGGGGGGGGGGCGCGATTTCTGTCAGCAGGACATGAGGCAGAGGGAAGGCTAAAACCTCCTTCCCAGCCCAAATCTAATCTAAATCCTAACCCTCTTGACCATAGCTGATTTGTAATGTTAAAACTTTGGGATTGCCCTCAGAAACTGGAAGCTTTCTCTTAGTTTAAAGCGCCTGCAGTACAAGCTGAAAAGCATTTTGTATGCAAGAAATACTTGAAATAGTTTTAGTCATTTTTTCTTCTTTCTGTTGAATGACTGCTGAAGAAAGCAGATCGATAATTAAACTAGCACAAAGTCAGTCTTAGAAGTTCTGTGTGCCCCCCACCCCCGGATGGTGATAGTGCTGAATTTTGATTTCAAACCATTACCTTTAGGCTAGGGCCAGTCTCTTTACAGTACTGGCACATATTCAGAGAGACAAAACCACCTCCTGGGTCTTTCACTTTGTCTAATGTTAATTCCTTAGATCAAAAGGAATCCCTGTAGTTTTTCTTAAAACTGCACTTAGCCAGCTTCCTTATCTTTAGGTAAAGATATCATAAGATTTGCTAACTTTGAGAGAAGTTTTATTTCCTCTAAACTGCAAGGAAAATGTTGTCTGCCTTCTTTTCTTTAAAGGCACCTTTGGAAAGGGGGGACAGTGTGTGCGCACAGGGCAAATAAAATTCTCCCGTGTGTGCCCTCCCCTGCAGCTTACTTGTCCCTATTTGTCTGTGTTTCCTCCCTGTCCCCATACTGTTGCTCACCTTTGCTGTAACCAATGCTGTCCTCCAGCCCAGAAGCTGGAGTCAAGGAGAGTGAATGGTGGCTTGGGGGAGAGAGTTGGAATGTTGCTCATCTAGGGAGTTACTGTAGGTCAGTTCTCTTCTTCCAACAACTGTGATCAAACTGGAGTGTTTGCTTACCTACTTTTAGATAACTGAGATACTAAGACATCTGTTGCTATCTCACTAGGCGACTGAAAGCTGAAGGTTTTCTTTGTATCTTGACCCATTCCATCAGTTCCTTTTCTTTTTTTTAGGCACAACAAGTACACCTAACGACTTGTGGTATAATATCATTGAATTGCCGTACCATGGCGAAAGCATCAGCATGTTGATTGCCCTGCCCACAGAAAGCACAACACCTTTGTCTGCTATTATTCCTCATATTAGCACAAAAACTATACAGAGCTGGATGGCAACCATGGTACAGAAGAGAGTGCAGGTTATTTTACCGAAGTACGTACTATTTCCTCGTTTCGTTTTTAAATAACTCTCCAAGAAACCTTCATTACAGGGCAATTTCTTTTCAGTCTTAGGTCTGATGCTGTTCTGTATTGCTTCTTTACAGGTTTACAGCAGAAACAGAAACAGATTTAAAGGAGCCTCTCAGAGAGCTTGGCATTCGAGATATGTTTGAACAGTCAAAAGCAAACTTTGCAAAAATAACGAGTGAGTTATCCTTCGGTTCTGTGACTCATCCTCTTTAGAATTAGAATTGTATGTGTTATATTTGTAAAAGTAAATAATTGGTTACTTTGAAATCGCACCATTTGTCAGTGAAGCATGTACCTGAACTTAATGACTTAAACACAGTGTCACACTGTCTTGCAATTTATGGTGAAGGATTGCATTTTGCATACCTACTGTTAAATCTATGTCAAGCACATGTAGAATCTGTTTAATACAGAGATCTAGGTTAGATATGTGATCAGGTTTCCTCATGTGCTTAACTTTCTTCAAAAACAACATGCAAGGGGAGGAAGTATTTGGATTGGTGCCCACACTGCTAGACTGGGTTTTCCCAAATAGAAACTGTCCCCTCACTGAGCAGTCATTAGCCTGATAGGCAAGGGAAAGGGCACTGGGGGAAAAGGAGGGGAAGGTGAAGAATAAATATGTATCAGCATTGCAGTCCCAGTCCAAAACTGCTTCCCCTGTGGCTGCATTTAAAGAAAATTAAAGATGTCTGGAGGTATGATCCAGCCGAGCCATGACTCTTTGGGTTTAAGCAGAGCCAGCTGCAGAGCCAGCTTCATTTCAGCACACATGCTTAGGAGTAGACAGCTATTGAACTACACATTTAGCTAGAAACAATCTTTGTTTAGCATGGGGGGGGGAGCACTTTGAAAGCTGTGCTGTCTATGCACACAATTAGATGTTTTTGATGTTGATCTCAAAACTGAATGCAGCATTTTGCAAACATTGTAGTCAAGTTTCAAATGTTTTCCCCCCTCCCCATGTAATACTGTGAAGAAGAAATGTAGTGGTATAAGGATTGTGAAGTAGTTAAACCGTGCCCATAGCAAGTTTGGGTAATTAAGAACATAAGAACATAAGAGATGCCAATGTTCCCCCTGCCCCAGCCATTCTTTAAATGTTTTAAAACAAACCTGGTTTCCCCAGGTTTGCAGAAAAATGACCCTTGCCTGTACCTGGACCCACTACATGGTTTTTTTGATCTACACATTTGTGATCCAGACACAAAATGACATGTGATGACACAAAATGACATGTGATCCAGACACATATGACATGCGGGAGTCCTGTGGGACTCACATGGGGAAGGAATCCCATCCTCCTCCCTCTGCCTTCACTCACTGCAGGCACTTCCACTCCCTTTTTGTTCCCATTGTTTCTTTCCCCTCCTCCTACCTACATATTCATCATCAGAACATCAGAGACGCCAATGTTGGATCAGGCCAAAGGCCCATCCAGTCCAACACTCTGTGTCACACAGTGGCCAGAAATACCAGTGCCATCAGGAGGTCCAGCAGTGGGGCCAGGACATTAGAAGCCCTCCCACTGTTGACCCCCCCCAAGCACCAAGAAGACAGAGCATCACTTGCCCCAGAGCCCCTAGCTATACCTTGTGGCTAATAGCCACTGATGGACCTCTGCTCCATATGCTTATCTAATTCCCTTTTGAAGCCGTCCATGCTTGTAGCACCCACCACTTCCTGTGGCAGTGAATTCCAAGTGTTAATCACTCTTTGGGTGAAGAAGGACGTCCTAGCATCACTTGCCCCAGAGTCCCTATCTATACCTTGTGGCTAATAGCCACTGATGGACTTCTGCTCCATATGCTTATCTAATTCCCTTTTGAAGCCGTCCATGCTTGTAGCTGCCACCACTTCCTGTGGCAGTGAATTCCAAGTGTTAATCACTCTTTGGGTGAAGAAGTACTTCCTTTTATCCGTTCTAACCCGACCGCTCAGCAATTTCATGGAGTGCCCACGGGTTCTTGTATTGTGAGAAAGGGAGA